TTAAAAATTGTCATGGAGTCATAATCTGAGACAGAAAAGGTTTAAAGCTTCACACATGCATTATACCTATCTCAAGTCCAATCACTGCAAGGTCAGAAAAAATGGAGTTAAGGTGAAATTTAAATAAATTTCAATATAGTCAGAGATGGAAAAACATGAATAGAGTATCAAACAATTCTGACATATAATGACATCATCCTCTAGACACGTGATTGTTGTATGTTGTTGGTCCTACAAGGGATGAAACTAATTTTCAAACAGAACAAATCACTTCCCCCCTCCTCAACATATTTTTCCCTCACAGTCGTACTATACAAAGATAAATTTGCTGTGGAAGCACAGGACATAGTAGTCTCAGAAGAGTGTGGAAGAAAATGGGTTAGCCATGGCCACATAGAAGAGTCCCACTCACTTTCTAAGGCACTGACATTTTCAGGCCATGTTAGGTTCTCCTGGCGGACCTCTTCCCACATATCTGGAAATTAGGGCCCTGCCCGATAATATGATTCCACTTGGGCCACAATGTGAGGAACAAGGAAAACCACAGAGGCTATTGAACTTTCACAGAGAGCAGACTATATAAAATAGGATTAACTCCTTGGACACACAGGGGTTTCTCTTTTTCATCATAGAAAGTCCAAACTCAGCGAAGGTACGTGAGAGGAATTAAGTGGTTGAGGCATTCAACTCTTACCGTCTTCTTTATGGTAGAAAGCAAGTCAAAGATCAAGAATTTTTTCCACAGTCTGTTATCTCTGTTATCTCAGATAGGAAATTTCTGCCAGTTCTTGGACAAAGAGCCAAATTTACATCTGGTGTTAATCAACGAAACTCTTCTCTTTGCATTATACTTATGTTGTAACATTCTTTATATAAACTGTCTTAAAATATATACACACACCAGCGTTTATCTGTTACGTATGACATGATTTAGTTAAATACTTCTGCAACTTCATATAATCTCAACTGGAAGCAATCACTGTCCAACAAAATCCACTGAAGCTGTTGATTGTGCCTTTATCTACTCTGGCTGGATTTGAGCCTGTGATTCTTTGCCTCTGATGACGAAGATGGAAGCAATATAATTTATATAAGGACCAACTATTGCCTGCTCGAATGGGTACACAATACAGTATGAAAATGCCAGTAGTGTTGACTACAGCCCAGTTCCTACTGCTCGACCAAAACAAGAATTGTGTTGGTGGGGAATTACAGGAGCTATTTTTCTTAGCCTAGGCAAGGCCATGACAACCAGAAATACTTGAACTTGATATTTGATTAATGCTGGCAGGATTCTATAAGTGATTTCCACTCAACAACATCTAATTATTTAATTATTTCCCATTATTAATGGAAAGAAACAATTCAAAACAAACAGCTAGAATGACTGTTTTGCAGGAAGCCCATGATCACCAATTCATACATGTAGAAATCTTCCTAAAATTACATTAAGCTGGCCTGTTGAACTTGAAAGGCATATTTTATCCCAATCAATGCATAAAAGTAAAATTATCCATAACTAAGGCATGTTTCTCTGCTGTACAGTTCAACTGTAATGATCCCCACACACTGCACTTGCACATCAATTATGATAATCATAATCACGGTCGTTAAGCCGAATGTTCATTATTATCAGGATGCTGGTGACAGCAGATTCAATCATCGGGTGCTATGGGCAGGCAGTCACAGTCCCACCCAAGTTTCTGCAGACGGCGTTGTGCCACATTAAATCTATGATGTGTTCCACATCCCACTCCATTCCAAAAGCTGTAGACGGTAAAGGTCAACTTTATGTTCTGTGCAATATGCTTAGGTTCTCTAAATTAATTCTTTGCAGTACTGGGTATTTTTATGCTTTGTAGATAATAAAATTCTGTTTAGGGCCAAAATGCCTGTGCAAATAATGAAACAGTGATGCAGTCATACTGTAATTCACCCATAATAAGGCATCAGAGGAAAGAATCTATCAGGAAGGAACATCTTAAAATGTCACTTCCTGAATTTTGCAAGTAAGAAAGCATTAAATGCTGTCATTAATGTCAGTTTTCTAAAATGCAAATGCCAACTAATTCCAATATCGATTAAAGGCTGTAAGCTATCATTTCTGCCTCAGTAAATATGAACATATGTGAGTGTTTTGACAACGGAAAGATTATAGTTAGTGCACTTGATCCCTTGACTGTCCAGCTGCACTGGAACCTATCTTTGTAGATTGAATTCATAGTGACTGATAAATTTTTCATATTGATACTTCTCACATAAGTTCTGTCAAAGACATTCTAAGATATTTAAACATATGATATTAAACTTCAAATATGCAAGCATTTTTATTTTATAGTGGTTTACAACTGGGTAAACTAACTAGATTCAGTTTCACTAGAGGTATAGTATTTCCATTTCTTGTTTATTTTTAATGAAAAATTACAATACAACATTTTTTCCCATAACTCAGAAACTTCTTTGAAATGTAAATGGAATGAGATAAAATTTTTCAGATTATAACTAGATAAAAAGAAGAACTATTAACTTTTCCTCAGATAGATATGGTAATTATTATGTTTAGAGGAAGTCTATGCTAATACCCTTTAATTTTCCATAAGAAATACAACAAGGCAATATATTTCATTGTTGTTCATTTTGCTTCTAAAGTAATTATGTAATTTACATACTAATCTTTTTGTGACTTGAATTAAAATGCATACTTACAAACACATCAAAATCTCAGGAAAATACAACTAGGACATGCTCATGAACATACACAGGGAAACTTTTTTATATGTAGTTTAAAAAAAAAAAAAAAAGACAGCTAATACCAGCTAATATCAAATAATACCACAGCAGCTCAGAGAGGTCACTGATCCACTGACCTGCCTCCTTGGAAGAACTTATGCGGTACTTTGTCTTATCACCAATGAAAAGAGGAACTTCTCTACTATAGTACTGTCAGAAGCTGAATATAAATCATGGCAGGGTTATCAGGTATTTAGGTTGTAATATAAGTTACATCCACAAAAACATCACCTCGTGGGTCAGGTTGTGTTTAGCAGACAGTGTTAAGCAAAAAAACTGATTTTTTAAAATAATATTTTGATACATGCCCTTTAGCCTGTTGATTCATTAGAACAGGATGATTTTGTTCATAGCACTGATATGTATAAAGCTTCAATACAGTTTATAAATAAGAAAGGGACAGAGAGTCCTTTCAAATTTAACAGTTATGAAAGTATGACCTCACACCTCTTATAGGAGCTTTTCCATTAAAATAGAGAGAGGAGGTGGAGCTTTGGTTTTTTTTTCTGAAAATAATGACCCATTAAAGCAGCAGGTAGGTCATAAATAGCTCTTTTCTCCTCTTATCTCTCTGTTTGGGTAAGCGGCTCTTAATTGAAGCTTCATATTGATTTAGAATTGGAGTTGGAAAGCTGTAAGTCACATTAGGTTAATGTATACAGCTATTCACCTCCAGAGATTTAGGCTAAAATCTATCCAAGATCACAAGTGAAGTGCGTTTAGTTGTTTCAGCTGAGCCCATAATTTATATATTATATATGTGATATCATATACAATATAAATATCTTTACATTTTTTGATGTCATCATCTGAGCCTGATCAAGAACTGCCAAGGACTGGAAAAGGAAGGGTCTTTACAGGACCAGATGAGTACCACCAGTAAGACTTTTAGATCTTTTTTATATATCATACTTATGCTGTGGGACTTCAGCCAGTCATATCCTCTACTCATTGCTTTTGAAAGACAAATTCAGATCTTTTTGCTTGAATGTTGATCTTTGCGCCTTTATTTGCAGTGAGATTTAATTAATGTATGTTAAAATACCAAAATTTTACTCTGAGCTCATTTTTAAGGCTTAAAGGTCTGAGAAACAATTCTTTTAAAAATTATTACTTCTCAAACTAAGATTCATTGGAACTTGTTACATATTTACAAAAGTCAAGTTACTTTCAGTGAAATAAATAATCATATCTTAGAAAATCTCAGAATTGTTTGGTTTGGAAGAGACCTCTTGAGATCATCTAGTCCAACCCCCCTACTCAGCCAGAGCAGGTTGCCCAGGACTGTGTCCAGTTGGGTTTTGAATACCTCCAAGGACGGAGTCTCCACAGCCTCTTCAGGCAACCTATGCCAGTGCTCTTTCACCCTCACAGTATTAAAAAAAAAAAAAAGTGTTTTCTCATGTTCAGATGAATTTCACGCCTTTCAGTTTGTGTCCATTGTCTCTGGTCCTGACACCAGACACTACTGAGTCTGAGAGGAGTCTAGTTCCCTGTTCTTCATTCCCTCCCATCAGGTGTTTATACACATGGATAAGTCTCCAGACTGAAGAGTTCCATCACTCTCAGCCTCTCCTCATACAAAAGATGCTCTAGTCCCTTCACTATCTTTGTGGCTCTGTGCTTCAGTCTCTACCAAATCCATTATCCTTCTTGTACTGGGAAATGTTAATGTGATTGTGATACTTAATACAAATAGAAGCAATGCAAATATTACACAAACTCATGTTAGAACATGTTCTGAGGAAAATTACCTCTTGTAGCACTACAAAACCAGAAACATATGAGATGCTCCTGACAAAGGAGGCAGTTTAATGGGACTGTCTTAAAATAAAAACATCTCTTCATTAGTTCTTATAATTTTTTGGTGGTTTTAATCAGGTTTCGCCGTGAGTTAATATGCAATCTCTCTTAAATCAGAAAAGGCAATACAGGCACAACAAAACTTTGCAAAACTCATGTAACCAAAGCTGCACGTAATGAGGCTTTTAAATCCTTATGTTGTAGGTGGGAGAGGTCTTGAATTTCCTCAAATTGAACCTACTGGAAAGTGTTGAGGAAGCCTGGCATCTCATCACATCAGCTCTTACTATGTGATTTTATAACATGCTGGAAAGATTCCCATTGGACTCCATGATCAGGCCCAAATTCACTTAGTTCTAGTACTATAGAAAAAAGTAAACCATTCTTTACTTCTCGCATTGACTTACCTTGTCTGCTACCCACTTCTTAGGCTGTACTTCTCGGAAATATTTAATTCCATAAGTTTCTTGGCCATATTTGCTTGATCTATGAATTGATGGGTCATACTTCTGATTTTTATGATACGAAGAAAATGGCAGAAATCTGAAATTCAAGAATATTGAAAAATCAATTATGGCCTACTCTAGATGCCGCAGGATTGACGTAAATAATAGATACCAATGCTACAGGAGGTGACATAGACACATGTCCCTGCTATATTCCACCAACTGCTTAATGTTCCCCCTGGGTGTTTTGAGAGGACTACTGCAATTTCTCCTATAGCTGCTTTTAAGGTAAATTTGGAGCAAAGAGACAGAGCTTCAACAGGATAAAATGAAGACTTTCTGCACAAAGATATAACTTGGTTCACCTGTATTATTAGATTATTTCTTTGGCCGTACCTGCACCACAAGCTGGTGTGATGTGAAGAGAGAGCGAGCAGGATTGAGTCTGCTGGGTCTGCATGTTGACACCTCAGGTCTCAGCAGGCAGTGCAGTCCATGACAGCTGTCAGTGGCAGGCAAGCATCATGCACAAGTACAGAGTTCATTGCTGGTGAACTTGTATCCAATTTTCAAGTCATGGAGCCCCCCAACACATAACCTCAACCTGATTGTTCCACAAGGATGGATGAATGTCCCAAACTCTCATGGACAACTACAGGTTTTCTGCATAGCTTTCACAGCAAACTGTGTGAAAGAAGGTGAAAGATATATATAAAGGATCTGCAAGAGACCCTAAATAGATGTCTTAGTTGCATCTATTTCAGTTTGCAAGAGAGTTACAAGAGCAAACAGGTACATTTTAATATAAAGTAAAATCTTGTGAATTAAGCTTATAATTGCTGGCATTCTGAAAAAGCAACATGCATTCTTTATTCTGCAAGTGCAGGAAAAAATACTATGCAGTAAAATTAGGAAAAATATGCTTCAGAAGTTTAAAATATCACTTTAATGGCAGTGGCAACAGGTTTAGTTAAATAAAAACTTTTCCTAGTTGAAACCATTTCTGAATCCAGAGTCCCTATAAGAGTTACACAGTCAAACAGGTTTTTGATAAAGATGGGGATTAAAATATCTTTCTTTCTCTCTCAGCTGATACAGACTCAAAAAATTATTTATTGGGACTAAGCGATCCATCAACAACTGTTCGAGTGCTTGGTTTTTTTTTTAAATAACATGCCCTCTTTCCACTTCATAAAAATAAACTGTTTTAGAATCTTGACAGCTATAACAATTTATCCTATCAAGGACCACAAATAAATGCCATGTAAAGTTAGCAAAAGAAAAACACTGAGTTAGCAGACTTTTAAATTATACAAAGCTATAGTAGCATGTGTATACTCATGGGAAAGGACATTCTCACATAAGACAGATTATGGTACTTGTAATGCTAATTTGCACATGGGATGGACATCACACACACAAAAAAATTAATGTGGCCCCAGTGTCCCAGAGAATACATTGGAGGTGCTGCGAGCCGGCTGCTCCACTTGCAGTTTTTATCACTTCTGAATTGCATTTTAATAGTACATTTTTCTTTTGTTCAGACATGAAAGAAAATTGGCTTTCTCAAGGGATTGGATAGCTGAGAAGCCAAGGCTAGCGGTTTAGAGATTTGCCGTATATGCATAGAATTTAGTTGAGCCACAGCATTCATAATTCAATATGAATTTTATGTCTGTAAAATTTATACAAAAAATGTATATATAGATATATATACATGTATATATAGATAAAGTAAATTATTATAGTTTTCCCTATAAAATTTGCTATCTAAAACTTTCTTTTTTTCCTTCTGTCTATAGTTCTGCTGTCAGAGCCAGGTGGGCAGATCCTTATAGAGATAATGATCTAACTATAAGAAAGGATCATATGCTTGCAATTTCAATATCTGTTTAAAGCAAGTAAGAATTTTCATTACTCTATGTGAATAAGTAATTAAAAAGAACATTAAAACAATTTTTTGTGTTAAGTAGGGTAACCAAATTAATGGGAGTCATACAAAAGCCATTATACCCCCACAACCAGTAATAATTGTAAAAAGCAATAGCACTGCAAAACACTTCAGTAATGGTATTGTGTTCTGTAGCTCTATATATACACCTGACACAGCTTTTCCCCAAATTAATGACAGCATGTGCTCTGAATGTGACAGAAGAGAGTGATGGAAGGAAAATAAAATTAAATCCAGGCAATAGTATGATGCCATTATCAACTGCACAAGTCTAGACCTCAATAGTTTTTTTCCCCCACAAAAAGCTCACTCACAGGATTCTTACATTTGGGTTTCAGATTTTCCTTGTGATGTAAGCATAAATTCAGAAATTCTTAAAGGTGTTCAGTAAATATGACAGAGACAGAAGTAGCAGGATCAAAGAATTAAATTCTGTCTTCATGCTATATTGTGTCATAAAACATAGTATAAGATGACACTTTCCAAAACTGATGATTTAATGGGAGGTGAACTTTCCCTAAAGGAATTAAATTTAAAAATGAAAAATAATTTTGTTTCACCCACCAGAAAAGCTTGAATGAGAGGCATGCCAAAGAATACACTAAAGATGAGAGGAAAGAGTTGGAACCAAAAATAAGAAACTATCTCAGGTTCTACAAATAGCAGTATCACACATACACAACCTGAGGGACAACTAGGACCAAAGCTGGCAGGGTCACTGGTAACAAAGGCCAGCTGCACTGTTGCCAGGACCACACTATGTTGAACCTAATTAGCGTAAAAAGACCTAGAAGCCTCGACCCAACAGCTGCTAGCAGTGTGTATTTAAATTTCAAAAGATACTCTATATATTTATTGTTAACAAAAATTAAAATTGCTTTATATCTCCCTACACTCATCCTGTCCTGCATCTCCTTGCTACTATCAATTTCATCTTTCTAATTCTTCTTTTCCCCACATTTTTACTCCCTCGTGATCTTTCTTCCTGCATCTCTCCACCTAGCATCTCTTCCCTCCATTCTGTCTCCTTCATGGCAACGTCTCTCACTATTGAGACAGGAGATGGGAGAGGCCTCCCACCAGTAGGTACTGATGCAGCAGCAGGTACTGGGCTCTGGTGTCTATGGCAATGGGAGAGGAGAGAGCAGCAGCACAAAGAGGGAGGAGGACTTGTCAGGTTCACCATTTAGTGCTGGGCAGCAGCATCCTGCCAGTCTGCCACGCGTGCTGCACTACCAGGGCACAATAAGATATATTAAAACCAGAGAACTAGAAGGAATAAGTCTTCCTACATGTTTTTTCAAAGTTGAATAATATTCATGTGTCCTGTACATTTTTGTAATTTAGTAGTAAAATTACTACCAAAATCTCAACTCTAGATGTGTGATTAAATTTTTATCAAAAGTTGTTTTATTCAATAGCAGTTCAATTCTTTGTTGTCTTGGTCTAATTCAAATAAAACAATTCTCTCTCACTTTGAAGAAGACCATAAATAATTAGCTCCAAACAAACTATGCTTCTCTATCAGGAAGCTGTGAATCTTTTTTTTTCTTTAAATAAAACATGAAATGAATTTTAAGCTTTTGAATTTTGATAATTTGTTCATCAAATCCAACAGTGTCTATGTTTTCACTCAGGGAACAAAGGAAGAAGCACAATGGTTTTCCACAGCAAAACAACTGCGGCAGGGCAGCCATTATTTAGTTCTTAATGAGTGCACATTAAAATCAAAGTGTTATTTACAAAAATAAAGACATATTTTACTTAACATATGTAGTCTGATTACCTTTAGCTCAGTATTTTTGCCATAAGAAGCTTATTTTGAGTGCATTATTACAAGTATTGTCAACAATAATATACTAAACACATACTTTTTCAATAAACTATCACTTCTATCCTAATGTGAGTAAATCTAAGAATCCTCTGTCCATTTTTGTTTAACCCCTGTCTGTGATAATCTAAAGTGGCAAAGAAAAGCACAGTCTAGTTCTTCCAGGAAGTAAAGACATCTCTTCTGCAGCAAATTCTGGAACTTCTTAATTATATAAAGACTTATTATCTGCATCCCCAGTGTTATGAAGTACCAGAACTTCATTAGAAAAATTAAGATGGAAAAATGAAGGCTCTACTTTGTAAATTTCCAGTGGAAATTAGCTGGAAGAAGCAGAGGAATACTGGATCAAAAGAGGGTAATCATGCTTAACTGTGCCCTAGAGCACCCGCATGTATAATACGATTTGCACAGTAACTACCTCTCCTATTACTGCTTGTTTGGAGTATTCTGTGTTAATGGGGTTAGCTAATTTAGTATTTTAACTTAAAAAGACTCTGCTGATTAATAAATTTTGCACACTGTGCTAGTAATTAAAATAAATGGAAGAGCTACAAATAGACATTGAATTGTTCAGAAAACATTATCTGAAAATATATGATAATCCCTGTTTATCATAATACAATAACAGTCCGAAAGATATGCAAATTGCTGAAGTTGCAAAGCATGTGAAAAACTAAGTATAATTTGAAAAAAGTTTTCAGATGTGTTATATTTGTATGACAAGCAGTAGCCATTTTCACTGTAGCTAAGTCAGAAACACAGTAAAAGATCTTACAAATGTAGAAATTAAAATATTTTTTTTTAATCTTAAGTCTTATCGAAGTGACTTGCTTTTTAAACTTTATTACCATTCATAACAGGCAGCTCATAACACTGATGCTCTCCAAGTGCAGAGCTTATTTAGATCATTAACTTCTCTGTGAGCGTACCTTTCACGCACAGCACTGTGTAGCACAGAAGCACTGAAGCTAGTTCTAGAGGAAAGCATCATCTTGCTGAGATGAGGAGCTCGGTGCTGCAGCGTTAGCACAGCATGTAGGAGGCAGGGTGTGCCAGCATCGCACTCTGCTGCACACAATGTGTTCAGGAATAGTTTGGCTATCTCCAGCACAGCTCTGAGCACAGACATAGCCACAAGTTGAGATGACTTGCCTGATGTCACACCAGGAAACTACAATAAATCAGGACACCTCAGCCTTATGCTACTGCGGGTTTATCCCTGTTCTATCACCACGTTGCAATTCATTCTGATGTATGTTGACTTTATAAAGATGTTTAATAGTATACTTCGGAGCATGAGGCGTATTACGTGAGACAGGTTTCAGCAAAGCTAATGAAAATAATTTACATTTTTGTTCTCTGGAAAATTAGGCCAGCATGCAGCTGCATGCAAGTAAGTAAAGAACTTTCATGCTTAGTGATCTAAATCTGCTGGATCCAGCAGTTGGTGTCTGAAACTAGACGCTAGTTTAAGTGGCCATCCCGAAGGAGTCCAATTGTTCATTTCTATCCAAGCGGAGGGGGAAATCACATTTGTATGAAAAATAGCACAATAAGGCAGTAACAGCTTCAATTACATGAGAAAAAGGAATCATTCTTATTAGGCTAGATTACCCAGTTGCTCTTCCATTACAAAATAGGAAATTCCAGTAGTGGCTTTAAGTAAGCACAACATTCTCTCCTGCTTTCATTTGTACTGCTTCCGCCTGCCTCAAGTTCTTCCACAGCTTTTCAATTATTTCCGCATTTTATCAGAAACAAACTTTTTCAGCATTTGAAACACTTCAAGAAAATGTATTACCACTTTAAAGAACCCTGATAATCGGAGGTGAGCTGGAATTCTGGGTGTTGTTGGAAATCACAGGTACACACCAACAATTTTACTATCTTAAGAGATATCACAACATACTCTAGAAATATACAGATCAAGGTTTCAGTTTGTAATTTTATGCAAACACAAGCTTTCTCAAAGCCACACACTTCTGCTGTTCATTCTCTCCCTATTTTCTAGAATAAAAAGAATAATCAGCATAGGAAGCACTGCCAGGAAGAAATACAGTCCCAAAGTACACAATTACATAGAAAGAGACAGAAATTTGTCAATTCATGATAGACACTGCTGAGAAAAAAATACTGTATAATCTGAGTAACCCTTTGCTGACTCCTCCCAGGAGACTAGCATCCCACACAGCAGCTGCAGCATTACTAGTGAGCATCAGTCCTGATGATGACCTGCAACTCTGTCATCACCTTTTCAAGGTTACAGTTGTGACCTTTTCATGGCTGGTTGAATCCAAAGCATAAACGGAATGATCACAGCCTGAAAATGTGTAGTACAGGATGCATTCAGTGTGCATGAAGCTGAGAGTCATTGGTGTTAGGACACTGCTTCTGTGCATTAAGGATGGTACTAAATGCTTCCTTACCCAGAAGGTAAATAAAGACTCTGATCAATTAAAACCCTTCCAAGTTGGAGACTCCAAATTTAAATGGCACAAGCCCAAAGCCTTCACAATCCACTCACTGAAGAAAGTCAGTGAAACATTTGTTACAAGATCCAACCTTTTGAAACTGTTGACACAGTGATCGCTGGGGTAAATCTCATCAATTAAAGACTGGGCAATATAGCCGTGACTATAAATGAAGGACATCGTCCATCCTCACTTGGAATGCATCCGTCAAAATTTATTCAGTAAAAAGAACCCTTTAATTGAGAGGTAGAAACTTAATACCCGGTGGGGTTTTTTTAGATTTCACTGGCAGAAGCTAGATATAAAAAATTAAAAATAAAATTATAAAAAAGGGTCCAGATTTGAGCTGAGATGTGAAAGTTAAGCTGTTCCCCCCTTTACTCCAATAAATGAAAGAATACAGGGACAAATAGAAAACTGAAGTACATTTTTACTTGTAACTTCACTCAGTCATGATTTTGGTATGAAAGGAATAAAAAGCACTATATCTCATTCTGTCCATCAATATTAAAAAAAAAACATTGCCTAGAAGTGGAAAAGTAGACAAACTAAGATTTTTTTCTGTCAAAACTGATTTTGAGTAGGATCTTCATTTAATGTTAACGGCAACTTTAAATCGGGGAAAATGTGAGAAAAAAAATCCAACAATAAAAACATAAAAGCTAAACCATGCAAATGCAATTGATCCTGCATTCTTAAGTCATGGTCCTTAAGCTTATACATGGCAACAAGGAGCTGATCTTAGAAAAGCTTGAAACACAAAGATAGCAAAGCTTAGTGCCCCAGTGAATCCATGGATCACAGGCTGCTTATGAGGAAAAGTGATTCCATTCTGACCTGAATTCTGGTATTAAACTGTCAAAGGATTGCCAAGAGCAGTGAATTCAAGGGAAAAGATGACAAAATATCATTTTTTTTCTGGTTAACTACAAAGTCAGATGACTCAATAGGCTTTTATTACAACTGGAAAAAAAGAGTTCCATTATGGTAAGAACAGAATTGGAAATGTTTTGGTAATAACCTTCAGTCTTTTGGGACAGAAGCCTTAAATCTTTTGGGATGGATTATGTCTGTATTTGGGATTGTAGGG